CAATTGTTCAGAATACATTTTTTGTAACCGTACACTTAATTGCAAATAATGTTGCTTGTACATGTACACATATTGTAAATCACATGTTTTGATATATGAAAGAATCAATCTCTACATGAGTGTGTTATCTGGACATTTGAGTTTGTCACAATCAACTGATTGTCTTGGTATAAATATTTACACGTTTTGGACATTCCTCTGAAATTTGCATTTATTATAAGTTGATGAAATTACACTGTATAATCAACTCATGAATATATATGACTACACTTTCATTATGAAATTGAATGAATGCTTACAACTGACATAGTATGTTTGGTAGATGTAAACACAAAGTCCCCTGAGATTGGAGTTGTGAGTTTTAACCTAACCAGGGGTGTTGTGTCGTACCCTCACTTCAAGGTTTGGTATTGCCTATACCCAATGCACGAGGATGCAATCGTAAATATAAAATTCTTGAGAATGAAATTAAATTAACCAGAGAAAATTAACTTGAAAATATTAATGATAAAGCTTTCAATGAACTACTTATATTATGTAAATCAACTACAGTTCCAGCCTATAGTTTTCTTCAGTTAGCATATTTCACAAACCTAAGTGTACATTTACAAAATAACATGTAAATATCAGTATTATCCCAAATTGTATAGAGTAGTTTCAGTAGTACGTTCAAAAATATATAGCTTCTAAGAAGATCTTTGAAGACTACAGTATATATATTCACAACAAGCATCTGTGTGTGAATATTCGAAACATCCAAGGTATGGTTTCAGAGAAGCAAAACACGGTATCAGAATTCCATCCAGTACTGTCATGTTACTGTATATCTTGATCCGGAAAATTTCCTACATGTCATATGACATGACAATCCTATGCATATACATCATACATTAAGGTAGAGATGCAGTTTATTTGTGAATTTCAATCAAAAATAGTTTTTTTCGTTTTTTATATAGATTTTTATCTAAAGAACATTCTGTGAAAATTTGACCAATGAATTCTTATTGGAACACCGTTAAAATTGCTGTTTATTTTCTGGTTAAAAATAAAAAAACACTCGCACGTGGCAATGTTTATGTCCAATTGCCTAATTTGCATGAGTAACCAAATAACAGGACCTTTGATTGACAATATGCAAATCGAGATTGTACGGGTCATAGTTCATTCAATTCACGCATCATTCAGGAATGATTGAAATGTCCGAAAATGACGCCAAAATACACCCTAAAAGTCCCATTTTATTTTTTTCTAAATCCCATCCCGAATTTACGGCAGAATCTGGTCCCTCAAATAAGGGACACGTGAGCTTTGATTCTAACCGGGTATATTGCACTGGGTCGGGGAGATACAACTTT